GAACTACAACCCCCCCCTGCCCCCCCCCTGCTGCCCCCCTACTGTTCCCCCCCATGCTGCCCCCCATGCTGCCCCCCCGCTCCAGGTTCCTGGCCCAGCTGGTGCCTTGGAGATGATTGTGCCCCTGCCTTGGACGTGCCGTGAAACCCAAGCGCTAAAGGGACCTCGCCCGCTGCCTGGCATGAAATGCCTGCGCCCAAGGGGAAGTAGTTTCCGAGTGGCAGGTGCTGGGGGGCGGCAGTCCGGCCTCCTGGGTTTCGTTCCCAGCTCTGGGAGGGAGCGTCGTCTGGTGGCTGGAACTGGGTTGACTCAGGACACCTGGGTGCCATCACTGACTCCTTGTGCGACCCTGGGCAAGTCACTTTCCCTTCTCGGTGACTGGTCTCCCCCCCTGCACTGTGGGGCGAGAACGTGAACCGATGTCGTGCCCCATAGGGGCCCAGCACGTAGGTGTTCCCAGCCGCTCATGACAAGTGTTGTTTGCTTTGCCCCGGCAGCGGAGTCCCGGACATGCGATAACTGCAGCAATGGCCACGTCAGATGAGCTCAAGTTTCATGGTGAGCGTTTGCTTTCCATAAAGTGGCAATTCGGGGGGGGAAGAGGGAGGGGGAGGAGGAGAGGGGGATTTACGTCTGTGGTTTCTCACGTGGGATTCCAAACTCCTCCGAGTAACATAGTTGGGTCTCCCCTCGTTGTGCTGAACATCACCCCCTGAAAATGTGGGTTAGAGGCTGGTGCATTTCAGGAGCTACTCTGCATCTCAGGCCTGGAGCCACCTTCCTCCCCCAGATCTGTCCTGTTAGCTCATTTCCCCCTCGGGCTCAGCACTGGGCGGGCGCTGAGGAGACCTGGGTTCTGTGCCTACCTCCGCCTGGCCTGCTGAGTCACCTTGGACAAGTTACGTCCCCTCTCCCTGCCTCAGTTTCCCCATCTGTAAATGGGAATAATGATACTGACTCCGTTGTGAGACCAGTGGATGAAAAATGCTATGTGAGAACTAGGGAGTATTATTTTGATTAAAGCAAAGCCATGCAGTGATTGGCCACAGTTAGCCTGCGGAACTCACCACCACAAGAATATCCTGAAGCCAAACACTTAACAGGGTCTGAAAGAGGACTAGACTTTGTTATGGGGAACACAAAGTGTCCAGAGTCAGAACAGTAAATAAGCAAGTTAGGAAGGTGCTTCAGGGCTTGATCTAACCTGTGATCAGGAGCGAACCGTCCCTGGGGGCAGGTTATCCCATCGCTGCCACCGGTAGGGCTTCTTCCATCTTCCTCTGCAGCAGCTGGGCCTGGCCAGTCCGGGAGGCTGACCCCGGCTGGTGATATTTGGGTTCCTAATCTGACCTAGCCCCTGCTCTGGCCTAACTGAAATCCATCAAGTAAGAAAAGAGCTAATTGGCCCCTCCCTTCTCTTCCTCTTTCCGGCTTCGACTTGGGCCACCCCGGGGAGGAGAGGGGGGTCTGGACCCTTTGAGGGGGATGATAGTGGACGTGCTCCGGAGGCTTGGCCGGGGCTGCACACGGGCAGGTTGGATACAGGGATTTCACCCGGGTTTGGGCAGATCCGAGCCAGCAGCGTCGAGAACGGACAGGGCTTTAGTCTGCCCGGGAGCTCCAGAGCAGGGCTTGGGCCGCAGCTGCCAGCCAAAGAGATCCCAGGGCCGTGGACGCCGATTTCCAACCCGTTCTGATCGCTGGGGGTTTCCCTGCAGAATTCGACGAGGCAGCCGACTTGCTGGCCGTGAACCCTGATGCCACAACCACCAGCATCAGCGAGCGGCAAAGCCACGTGGCCGTGAATGTGAGCACCGGCTACGAGGAGGGCGAGTTACGGGAGGAGACAGATCAAACTGAGGTGAGAGGAAAAGCTGAGGGGACGGGGACTGGCTGGCGTGGGCTACAGGGTCTTTCCCCTCTCGAGGGCGTCAGCCCCACCCCTTCCCAGGGCCCCAGCTCCCCCGTCAGTAGTGACTCGTTGCCATTTGCCGGTCGAGGCAGCCTGGACGGGCCCCCAGCCCGAGTATCCTCATTGCCAAAACCACCGGCCCAGACGGAGCTGGGTGGGGCCCAAGCACGTGCTTAAGCCCTTCCCTGAATCGGGGCCCTGTCTGGCTGCCGAGAAGAACCCTGGTTCCGATGGCCACAGCCGAGGTACGAGAGGGGGAGGGACTCAGCCGTGCCAGAAATCGACCCTGATCCCCGGGTCCAGCAGAAAGGCTGACGGCTTGTCCGCGATCACAGAGGGTCCTGGCCGCAGCTCCGCTCTCTGCCGCAAGGCAGACCTGGCTGTCTGGCACGTGAGCCGAGGACCAGCCAGTCACGTGCCTTTTCATCCACGCAGCTCCTGAGCGGCCAGAAGAAGCCACCCAGTTTCTGGACCTTCGACTACTACCAGACTTTCTTTGATGTCGACACCTACCAGGTAACAGAATCTCCCTGTCGAACGTTTCCGCCGGGCGGCTGGAAAGTGACGCAGGGGGGAGCAGCAAAACTGGGGAGAGCTTGGAGGGGAAACGGGCCCTCGTGGCAACCTGGCTGCGGCAGCCCTCGGAGGCTGGCCGGAAAGGCCCAGCCCGTCAGCCTCCCGCAAGGGGGCGGCGGCTCCATTTCCCAGGGAGGCAGGACATAGACCTGCACTCGGGGTAGGCAGGGACGTCCCTGGATGGACACACTGTTCCATGGCGGCAGACGCAGCCCCTGGCAAGGAGCTTGGTCTCGTGGTTAGAGTGTTCCTGGCTCTGCCACAACCTTGGCAAGTCACACCGGGGGAGTTCCCTGCCTGGGAAATGACCCTTCCGTGGTCTTCAGGGCAGGGAGCGTCTCTCGTGTCTCTCGGCAGCGCCCGGCTCGACGGGGGTCGGCCCTCGGCCGGGGTCGGGGCAGCGCCCGGCCCGACGGGGGTCGACTCTCGGCCGGGTTTAGACCGAACTGAGGCGGGTAGTTACAATTGGACCCCCGGTCGGCACTTGCTGAAGGGAAAAGGCTCCTAAAACAAAAGTTTCCAGTGACTAGCAACGCTGAGGCCTGGCCAGAGGTTTAGGCCCCAAGCCAGCGCGTCTGAGCATTTGGCTTCTCGTTGCTCAGAACCTGCCTGGTTTGGCTGGAAACGGGTCACCCGATCCTGGGCGTTGAATCCTGGCTCTCCAGAACGAAACGCCTGGAGCTGCTGCAGCTTAAGCTCGGGCCAGGCCAGACTCGTCCCTGGGGGTGGCTCTCATTGTTACATCCCCCCAGAGGGGCGGACGAGCTCTCTGCCCTGCGCTCTGCCGCTCGTCCGAGGAGTCGAACGCCTTAACCTCCGCTTCCTTTTCCCCGCCATCTCTGCGACCGGCCTGCAGCGCTGGGCTGGGCCCCGAGGCTGGGGAAGTGGGACCAGATCGACACAGACTAGCCCCACGGCAGGGTCCCAGCTGAGAAACGGGAATGCGTCGATCATTGTGGGTCTCGTCCAACCTCTTGCATAGCACAGGCCAGCTCCCTGCGCCCCGTGAGCCCAGCCTGGAGCCTGTAACTCGGGGTGTCCCGGGGGGCAGGGGGGGTAAATGGGAGTTTTGCTGGTATCGTCCTAGGGGCAGGTCCCTGTTGTGGTAGGCGCTGGCCCGCGGAGCTCGCAGGCAAAGTACAGTAGGCAGTGGTGGCTCCGGAGATGTCCCACTAACCCTGGTCTGTTCCCATCCGCCAGGTGCTGGACAGGATAAAGGGGTCTCTGCTGCCGTTGCCTGGGAAGAACTTCGTACGGCACCATTTACGGAACAACCCTGACCTGTACGGTGAGTACGGCGAGGCCAGACCGAGCTGCAGCCCCCCGACATCCCGGCGTTCCCAGTGGGAGCCGAGGGGCTCACTCGTCACTCAGCTAACCCGCACCCCCTTCTTCGCGGCTCTGGAGCAGAGACGTCCGCACCCCGTGACCGGCGCCTGGGCCGTCCTGGGTCAGCTTCCATGCTGGGATCTGGGGGGAGCCCTGAGGGCTGATGGGTGCAGGGCAGCTTGGTGTCCGGCTCCTGTCGACGCGCCTCCTAACCCCCCTCCCCCCTCTGCCTCCCCAGGGCCCTTCTGGATCTGTGCCACGCTGGCCTTCACGCTCGCCGTCAGCAGCAACGTGTCCCACGCCCTGGAGAAACGGGGCGACCCCTCCTTCCACTACAGCCCCCAGTTCCACAAAGGTGAGAGCCAGCGGGGAGACTTCCCCCAGGGCCACGCAGCGCGTACGAAGTGTGAACAGAACCCAGGAGTCCTGGCGCCTTCCCCCCTCCTCTAACCACCAGAGCCCACTCCCCTCCCAGAGCTGGCAGAGAACCCAGGAATCCTGGCCCCCAGCCCCCCTGCTTTAACCACTCACCCCCACTCCCCTCCCAGAGCCAAGATAGAACCCAGGAATCCTGGCCCCCAGCCCCCTGCTCTAACCACTCACCCCCACTCCCCTCCCAGAGCCAAGATAGAACCCAGGAGTCCTGGCTCCCAGCCCCCTGCTTTAACCACTCACCCCCACTCCCCTCCCAGAGCCAAGACAGAACCCAGGAGTCCTGGCTTCCAGCCCCACCGGCCGTGAATGGCAGCACAGATAGCAGTTAGAGCGGGGGGGGGGGCTGGGACCAGGACTCCTGGGTTCTCTCCCTGGCTCTGTTTGTCTTTGCTGGTATCTGTGGGCTGGGGGGCAGAGCTCTGGCTCCCCCCTGCCCGGCGGTCACCAGCGTCTCTGCCCTCTCCCCAGTGACCATCGCCGGGCTGGTGACCTACTGCTACGCCTGGCTGGTGCCTCTGGCCCTCTGGGGCTACCTGCAGTGGCGCAAGGGCCTGAGCCTGCACGTGGGCTCCTATAGCTTCCTGGAGACGGTCTGCGTGTACGGCTACTCGCTCTTCGTCTACATCCCCACCTCGGTGAGCAGCCCCCCCCCACGCTGCTCCGGGCTAAACCCGGCCCTGGGGGCCCCGCCTCCCTCGGGGCAGGTGGTTTGGGGGGGGGCTGACCCCCCTCTCCCTTCTCTCCCCCCCCACGGCAGATCCTGTGGCTGATCCCGGCTGCCTGGCTTCAGTGGCTCTTGCTGGCCGTCGCCGCGGCGCTCTCCGGCGCTGTGCTGGTTCTCGCCTTCTGGCCGCTGCTCCGCTCCGACAGCAAGCCGGCCACACTGGCCACGCTGGCCGCCATCGTCTCGCTCCACGTGCTGCTGGCCGTCGGCTGCAAGGTCTGAACGGGGCTGCCCTGCGTGGCCGTTAGCTCAGGCCTGGGGGGCGGTGGGGGGAGGAGAGAGCGCCGCGGGGCCTCAGCGGCTCCTGTGCTCCCCAGCGGTGCGGCTGCAAGAGGAGATGCAGGCCCGGAGCTGCGGGGGCCCTGCGTGGGTTGTGGTACCGGCCCCAGCCGCCAGTACAGATGGGGAAACTGAGGCACGGAAGCTCTGGGAGAGAGGACTTTTGTCCAGCTTCAGAGTGGGAGGTGCGCTGTGGTCCGGAGGCCATAGTTCCCCCCCTTGGGGCAGGTGCTCTGTGGTCCGGAGGCCATAGTTCCCCCCCTTGGGGCAGGTGCTCTGCAGGGCATGACCCCCCCCCCAATCAGCCAGAGGGGCAGGGCCAGTTCCACCCCAGCTGATCATGCTCTCCTGTTTTTTCCAGCTCTATTTTTTTCAGACGCTGCCCAGCACCATCCCTCCCCTGCACCCCCTGGTCACAGCCCAGCAGCCCCCGGTGCTGCTCCCTCACCCGGCCAATGCCTCGGCCCCCCTCCGCCAGTGAGGTAAGACTGCAGGAGAACTCAGGCCTCGGGGGGAACGCGCAGGTGGGGGAAGGGAGGGCTGCGGGTGCTGGAAAGAGTCGGGAACTTGCTCCTCGGGAGTGGGGGATGGGCCAGCAGCTCTGAGGCAGGCCCCTGTGCCTCAGTTTCCCCACAGAGCAATATCTTCGGCCTCAGTCTCTGTCCTCAAAACTGGGGAGCCTGAGCAGCTGGGAAGGGTCTGGTCTTCTGAGGGGCTGGATTAGTGCCTGCCCCCTCCAGCCACGGAGCCCCCTGGGGGGCTGGGCCCAATGGCCAAACTGGCCGTTGCTGGGAAAGTCAGCGCCGGGGGACCCCGCCTGGGCTGAGCTCGGGGGAGGGGGGGATTTGTAACCTCGTCCTGCTCACACTGGGCTTCTGCTTTTGTAGGTGTGGATCCCCCAGCACTGGGCGCAAGCGACAGCCTGGACCCAGCCTCCGGCCTCTCCCCCACGCTGCACAGGGACAGGGCGGCAGCTTGGCTAGCGGCTGAGCCCGGGACATTCGGCACGTCTCATTCCCAGCTGGGACTAGGGGAATGAGCTTGTGCCCAGACCAGCACGCACCAGGCCCTAGCTAGCCCCTGCCTCGGTCAGTGGCAGGCATCCTGCCAGGACAGAGCCCGGGCCCTGCTCTCGGGGCATCCCTGCGGCACAGGGAGCCCGACACCTCTGCTGGCCCCAGGGCCGGCGTTTGCAGCCCACTGCCAGGTTCTGATTCGGCACCGCTGCCCTGCTCCCCGGGGCTAGGCCGGGAGCTTCCCACCTAACCCAGCCCCAGCTCTGCTGGGGAGGCTGGGACGGAGCACAGGGAATTCTGCCAGGCGAGGTACTCACCAGCTCCCCCATCTCGAGGGCATGGGGGGGGGGCAGGGGCAGTTCCGGCTGCTCCCCGGGCAAGGCCCAAGGACTGGGAGCTGTCAGCTGTTTTCTATGCAAAGGTGATTGAAATAAACAAGTGGGGCTTTGCCCCCCTGGGACTGGGGCTGGTTCCTGTGTTGAGGGGGCTTGTGGTGTCACTCAGCCTGGCTGGGTTCCTTCCCCTCCCGGCTGCCAGCAGAGGCTGGGAGAACAGCCCGGCACTGATGGCTGCAGGGAAGCTGCGTCTGGTGAGGGGCATCAACCCCCCACCCCCCCCATGCCAACAGCCCTTCGAACCGCTCCTGCTTTACTGCGCCCCCTGGGCAGCCCAGCGCGGCAGGGCCGGCTGAGAGCTGAAGGAAACTGCCTCTGTGAAACACATAATTCATTTATTTCGTTTTCTCCAGAGGGGTCCCTGCAAAATCCTTTCGAAAAATCACCACGGGGGCTCTTGGAAAGGAAACAAAACGAAAACCAATCCGCGCTCTACCTGGGTGGCGGTTACACTACCGGACTGCACTGTCCTAGGGGGGCTACAGGGGCTGCCACAGACGCCACAGCTCCAGGCCCCGGCCGCTAGCGCCAGGGCCGTGGGCAAGGTGGGCTCTGCTCTGCCAGGGGAGGGGGCAGGGTGACCCAGCGGGCTCCAGCCAGCTGCTCAGAGGGGCCGTGGAGCTGGCAGCAGAGGGAGTTAGGGAGCTGGCAGCCCGGGTTTGGGGACATTCAAGGTGTGTTGAACGCTCTCCTGCCACCCCGGCCTTTCCCACGAGGCACGTGCCAGGCCTGCTGGTCACAGCTGCCTTGATGAGCAGCCAGGCCCCCCCCTCAGGCATCAGCAGAGACAAGGGCTGGGGTGATAAAAAACCCTCCCCCCGAGGCATGGGCTTTGCTGGGGCAGGAGCTCCGGTGGCCTCCGCCAACCTCGCCTCTGGCTTCCTGGTGACAACGGCCCGGCCAAGCCCAACTGCCCCGCACCAGCAGGGAGTGAGGCAAGGCCAGGGTACCGGGCCTGAAAGCCCCAGAGCTGCAGCTAGGGAGGAATGGTGGGGGCCGCCCAAGGCCATCTCTGCAGAACACCCGGCCAGGAGCCGTGGCTGCCGACCGGCCCAGCCCCAGCGGTTATGGAAGATGGCGAACTAAAAGGACTTGCTACATGATCGGGTGGCAGGGGGCAGCTAGCACTGGGGGCGCGACACGGGCGGAGAATCTGAGGTTCGACATTTCATAAAAAACTGTCCAAGTCCGATATCAAAGAGCAGAGGAGCTGAGGGGCGGGTTGGGCTCGTGGGCCGGTAAAAACGGCCCCAGCGAGCCGGCACGCGGGGAGAGAGGGGGAAGGGGCGTCTTCATTTGGTTTCCTGGCGCTGTCAGTTCAGAGACGGGGCAAAGATGTTTTAGCTCCCGTAATGCATTGTGTTGGTGGTGATGGACATGGGGGAGGCCATGGAGATGGCAGGGCCCCCCATGGTGAACTGGCTGTTGACTGGGTAGTGAGCGCTCGAACCGCCTCCGCTCTGGCTGCCGGAGGAGCCTGCGGAGGAGACAAGAGAAGTCGCCGTTAGATCCGCCCACCCCAGGAGAGGGGGCAGCGCCGCTGGGGGCTGCCGGGGAGAGCAGAGGGGACTCCGCAGTCGGGCCAATGCCCGAGTTACAGGCACATGGCGGGCGGCAGGGGAGGCGGGAGGACGCCCTCGGGAAGCTGAGATCCCTGGGGAACGGAGCCGGGCGCGTTACCTGGGACGATGCCAGTGCTCATGATGGAGCCCATCCTGGAGTGCGTGTGATTGACAATTCCCGCGCTGGCCGCTGCAGGGAGACAGGGGAGATGCTGCGTGAGCAGGGGAGGGGCCGGCCCCCCTGGGCCCCCCTGGCAGCACAAGCCCGTGCCCACGGAGCTCTGTAACTCCCACTGGCCCGGGGGCTAGCGGCTGCTCAACATCCGAGGGTTACAGCCGCACCCCCACAACCTGCCAGCAGCGGGCGCTGCTGTCCCCCGAAAAGCCACTCCCAGCTGGGCTCTCGGGACCCATTTGTTCCTGGCCTGTGGCGACCGAGTGAATGGGCTGCAGGTTGAGACCCTGGGGCGACCCTGCCCCCCGGGGGTTGGGCTCTGCCCGGCTCCTCCGCTCCGGGGCAGGGGCACCGCCCCCCGGGTTGGTGAGACTGGAGCTGAGCCTTCGCCCCCGGGGCTGCAGTGCCACGCACTGAAATCCAGCTCCCCCGGCTGCAGCGCCTGGAGCAGGGAGACGAGGCCGGGCATCAGCGCGACACGGGGGCCTTATGGACACGGCTCTGACTTGACGTGCAGCGCCCGGCGCGATGGGGGCCCTTCGCAGCGGGGGTCTGGGCCCGCCCCCCATCTCACTGGGGCCCAGGCACTACCCCTAATTACCGGGACACTGCGGCACCTGCTGGCTGAAGCGAGCTGGTCCAGGCAGCTGGGGCCTCCCCCAGAGCCCCACATCAAACCCTCTGCCATGACTGGAGCCCAGAGCTGCCAGGGGCCATGTCCCCCAGCGACCCCCAACCAGGGCCCCCTGCACCCCACCCCCCAGTCCCGCCAGGGGATTCCCGTTCAGATGTGGAGACTCACCTAGAGGAATCAAGTTGTTGTGGCTGACGTTGGAGCCGCCGGTAATAACACTGCTGAGGTCGTAGGCGGTGGGCATCCCTGCACCAAGGGGGAGAGATGGGGAGGGGTCAGCAATGGGATGTGCCCCCCCAAGCCACAGCACTGGGGACCCCAAAACCAGAGAATCTATCCAAGGACCTCAGCGTCTGCCCCCCTGCGGCCGAGGGGTCCCCAGCCTGGGACTGGCCGGGATTTGCTGGGGGCCCTGGCTTGAGGGGAACCGCAGGCCAGGGCAGCCTGGGACAGGCCCTGGGGCTGGGTTCAGGGGTCTCAGCCCTGGGGAGGGCCGGGCACTGGGCCAGCCCAGCTCAGCCACTCCGGGACTGAGGCCAGAGGGAGCAGCTTTGCCCAGCAGCCCCAGGCCCCTGCTTGCAGGCTCTGGGTCCCAGGGCCAGGGCCAGGGAGCACGTCCCCAGCGCAGGCTGCCGTGGCGAGGGCAGCGCAGCCGCCTCGGGGCCCGGGGAGACTGCGGGTGGGCAGCAGCTTCCACGCTGGGAGGCGGTTCCAGGACTTGCCCCAAGAGGGAGCTGGAGAGAAGCCGGCCACGGATCAGCCCCGGAGGCACCAATCCGGGGCTCCAGGACACGTTGCGGTGGCCGGGTCCCTGTGCCCATGGCGGGATGCAGGGGAGGGTGGCACAGAAATGGGGGGAGGGTCTGGAGGCTCAGACGGAGCCAGTCACTCTGCTGCTCGCAGCCTCAGTTTCCCCACTGGGACGGAGGCTGCAGGTGCCTCCCGGGGGCTCAGAGGACGAGTCCCGCAGCAAGGAACCCTCCTTGGAGCCCTGGCGGCCCGGGCAGCTCCCAGCTGGCGGGGGGAAGGGAGGACGGACAGACGTGCCCAGCCCTGCACCAGGGGATGGGGGGGTTTCTCCGAGGTCCCATCCCCGGCGAGCCGATCCCAGCTCGGCAGAGGCCTGTCTTGGGGGGTACCAGGTGCTCATCCCCCACATTTCCCAAGGGGAAGCGCAGACCAATGGCAGTGCCCAGAGCAGGAGGGGCATGGCTGGGAGTGGGCAGGGCTGCCCGCACCACGGCTCTGGGGCAGCGACCGGAGCCAGGCCCCTTCCGTGGGTCCAGACGGCACCACTGGCAGCTCAGCGGGAGATGGATCCAGCAGCCAATTAACGCTGCTTCGGCACAAGGCGGGTTGTGTGTCTGCAGTCGCCGGCCCCGGGGGCTCCCGCCCCCCCCCCAGCCCACTGCCCTGCCCCCCCCCCAGCCCGCTCCCCCAGCCCACTGCCCTGCCCCCCCCAGCCCGCTCGCCCCGGGGGCTCCCCGCTCCCCCAGCCCACTGCCCACCCGCCCCAGGAGCCCTGGACAGCAGGGTACGTTACCAGACACGCCCATCCCCGTGCTCATGTTGTAGGCGCCGCCCGTGTTCCACATGTTCTCTGACGGAGACGTGTAGTGGGAGCCCGGCGGGGGGGAAGGAGTCGAGCCCGTGTACCTGAGAGAGACATGACAACACGTCAGCGAGGCCTGGCGGGGCTATGGGAGAAACCTCGGCTCGCTGCCGGGGGATGCACTGTTGCCCAGCCAGCCAGGTCGGCACGAGGCCCCCCCACAGGCAGAATGGGGCCAGTGACCCGGGAGGGGGGGCCCGGCCCCCCATTGCAGCCGGCTCGCAGGGCGGGGCCGTACCTGAAGAAGGGGTTTTTCAAGTCGAGGAGGTTGCTGGACTTGGAACCCGTCTGATCCACCTGGGCGACAATACTGATGTCGTAGCTTTGTCTGCGGAGAGGGAGACGCACGTCAGAGATGGACCCGGCCCTGCCGGAGCAGGAGACGCCAGCGAGCTGGGCAGGGCCGAGCCGGGGAAGAGACGCCCCCCGGGGCGAATTCTAGCTCCGGCAGGGCTGGGCCTAGTGCTGGGACAGCGCAGGGGCTGGCAAGGGGGCGCTGAGGGCTTGGCCATGGAGAGGAGATGCCCAAGCAGGCTAGCGGGGGGGGGGCGGGGCGGGGGCAATTTGCATGTCCCCCAAGGAGAACTGGCCTGAGACCCCCCCCACCGACTCGATTCACAGGCCTTCCGGTCGCTGCTGGTCTAGCTGGGCTTGGAGGCACGTGGGGCAGGACAGGCTAGTGCTGGGCAGAGGGGAGGGCTGCCCAGTGGTTAGAGCAGCACCTGGCTCAAACCCCTGCTTGCCACAGGCTCCGTGACTTTGAGCACGTCACGGGGCCTTGCGGGGCCTCGGCTCCCAGCTGTACCTGGGGCTGACAGCCCCGCTCTGCCGGCCGCAGGGAGGAAGCCATTCAAGACGGTGGCTGAGTCGACGTAAGGCATTTCCGATGGCCCCCAGCCCCAGGCCGGGCCCCACAGCGGCAGGACCCACAGACCAGCCCAGGAGCAGGTCAGGTTGCCGAGGGGCAGTGCATGCTGGGATCCGGAGCCCCCCCAGCCCCAGGCCCGCACCGCCCTTACCTCTTGTTGGCGATGAGCAGGCACGTCCCTGAGAGCGTGTCCCCGGCTTTGGCGAAAAGCGGA